GGCTGTGCTTCTAAGATGTAAACCACACCCTTCCTCAGACCTTTGAGAGCGTTTCTTCAGCTTCGTCGTTGCTGTGTGCCTCTCAGTATTTCCCACTACACTGTTCACGCATCCATCCATACACCCTCACTGCTAATAATACCGACGTTCACACTTCGTGGTTTTCTCTTTTTTGTTTTTCTTACTTTCATAATTTTGTCACATTTATTCATTCCTGGCTTCAGCCTGCATCTCTCTGACTTTGAAGCCAGGCTGTGACAATGCTGGCTCGACTGGGATTGCATAATGTTGAGGAGTGATAGATCAAGTGGACGCTAATTTTAACAGAGAGGTTTATTCATACATATGATGCTTATCAATATCAGATGCAAGAGCGAAGGTTTAAAAGATGCAGGTGAGGTGGTGCAACTGAGATAAGACAAGTGGTGAAGCTGGAGGAGTCAGGTTGAATGGTTTGGATGGGACCACAGGGATAGTTGGAGATGGAGGCAGATGATCTTCTGTGGCAGCAGTGAAAACAAGAAGAGGCTTAACTAACGAGATACAGTAACATATATCTCTACATGTTTAAATAGTCAAAATAAGATGTTTCTGGACAACATGCATTTCTTTGTCTCCAGCAGTCCACACACACAGGCAGCTTGCATGCGACCCAGGCATGCCGCACTAATGCTCGAGCTTATTGCTGTTGACACAGACTTGTGACTCTGACCTGCGGGGTCTGCTTTATTTCACATTACTGAAAAACTATAGAATCATACCTAGGGCTGTGCGATATGACCAAAATCTCATATCCCGATATAAGACATCTATCGTCCCGATAACGATATAAATCACAAAAATGTAACATTTTCTGTAAATTCTGTGAATCTCGGGCAGCTCGACTTGCGTGAAGTGTTTCCAGCTGGGCGTCATGTACCTGGAGTCGAGTGTTTTAATTGAAACGATACATTTTTAGACATAAGTTGTAACGGCCGCTGTTTCTTTGAGTATTTATTCCACGGCGTGCTGCGGGGAAAAGCCTGTTCTAACGTTTGAGTCTAAGGTTTATTTTTTGCTTCTCATCCGTAAACAGTCTGCATCTTTCACATGATTCAGTTTATTTTGAAAAGTCCCAACAGGATCTTGAGCTTTATTGTGAAAGGTTTATGTGGTACATAAACAAGCGGACACACGATGGTTTTACCATCGTTGTTGCTAACGACAACGCATAAAAACAGGCACTTGTCCATCTGTAGTGTGGTTATATTAAATATAAGAGAAAGAGAGAACTTTAAGAAATGAATATAGCCACTACAATGACCATCAAAACATGAAAAAATATTGCTGTAAAGAGTTTATTTTGCGACACCACGAAACAAACGATAGCGTAAAATGAAACGATAGATGTTTTTATATCGTCATCCGATATATATCGTTATATCGAACAGCTCTAATCATACCTTTGACTTATTTGTTGAAGTTGTTGGAGAGTAGCAGTTAATTAAAAGAAGGCCACACAAGTGAACAGTTTATCAGATTTCTTCATGCAGTCTTCTGTACGTTAAAGAACTGAACATTAAACTCTGAACACCTTTAAATGGGAACTTGATTTTTATCCAAGTGGTGGACTACTACTGTTCAGATGGAACGATATAATCAATAAATAAAGCAGGGATGCCAAACACTGTGGGCCACATACAGCTCACTTTGACTTTGAGTGGACTGACCCAGTGAAGATTGCCTTTATATCAGTGTAAAGAAGTTTAACGACAAATTTAATTATGAGATATTAGAATATAAGAAACATAAGTGAGTTTGATAAGTATGTCTCAGGGTTTGTTTGGGTTTTTTTTGCATAACAAGGAAAAAAATAAATCTGTCGCCACAACTCTTTGGCTATAAATTATGAGAAAAAGATGCAGCTCTGACAGCTCATCGCTGTTATTGAACTGTTTATTACTGGTTTAATAAGAATTAATGAGCTCTTTACTTGTTTTAAAGCTTTTCCCGTTGATAAAGTCTGAAATTTATCCAAAGTGCTCCAGTGGCCGGATTGAAGTCTTTGCTCCGGGGACCAATTTTGGCCCCCGGGCCTTATGTTTGATGCCTGTGATATAAGAATAAGATTGCATTGCATTATGGGGTTTTATACACTGAGCTGTGTGAAGTCTGATCAGGTTTATCAACTAATTATGGGCAACACTTTTTTTTAGTTTGAGTTTTATCCTTTTTTAACAGTCCTCGCACCTCTGAGGAGTTTCTGAGGTGAAATGATTGAAGTGAATGATTCTTAACACTTAGAGAAACCTGCTTACTTATTACTTACTCAACTCTTTTTCTTTCTTTCTTTTGTCTCCTTTTTTCAGCCACAGCGGTTAGTGATTTGTTGCCCGGCATCAGCTTCGTGCGTTTGTCCTTCGCTCGGACAAAATTTAAATATCTTTTCTGGGATAATTGAAAAGGAAGCTGGCCGGTGGTTATTCAGGCTTCAAAAGATCCTTTGAAAAAAAGCCGAGGGTCATCAGCAGCGGTGCAGTGCGCCGCTTCCACGTGAGTCTGCGCGCACAGGTTCTCTGCACATCCCCAGCAGGGGAGGGATCAGTACATAATCCTCAAATCTGCTTCCTGATTTGGGATAAAAGATATTTAGTGTATGCATACTTAATGTGCAGATCTGTGAGCTGCTGTTGGATGTTTAACGGCGGCTCGCAGCAGCGGTCGTCTCGGGACACAATGCTCAGCAAAGTGTAGCGAGGATCCCCACGATTCCCTGTGTGCGAGCAGCTTGCGACAATGCCCGGAGTGAAATTGGAAGAAAGTCAAGGATGAGAGGGGCGGGGAGGGAGGGGACATGGGAGAGTTCTCCCTCTGTTGTGTGGCTGTCTTCATTTTAAAGGAATCTCCTCCTCTGTGAACCGCTCGTCTTTTCATTCTCTCTGCCTGCCTCGCTCTCTCCCAGGAGGTTCACGACCCTCATTGGCTGACCATAGAGGCCCCTATGTGCACAGACACACACACAGACACACACACTTTCTGTCTCTCACGCTCATCGGTGTGGTTGCTCTGGTCACCATATCTTATATCTTTCCAGGTTACCATATCCTCTTAAGTGCTGCACAACACACAGGGGTTTGTAATGAAACCTGTGATGAGCAGCGCACAC